ATCATCAGCATAGTAGATCCATCATCAGCAACATCAGTAGCAGTTGTAAGACCAGCAGTAGCAGAGATAGTTGTAGCAGTAGCAGTAGTTGTAGCAGTAGTTGTAGCAGCAGCAGTAGTAGCAGCGACACCACCAGTATCTGTAGTAGTTATATCATCAGCAACATCAGTAGCAGTTGTAAGACCAACAGTAGCAGAGGTAGTTGTAGCAGGAGCAGTAGTTGTAGCAGTAGTTGCATCAGGAGCAGTAGTTGTAGCAGTAGTTGTAGCAGGAGCAGTAGTTGTAGCAGCAGCAGTAGTAGCAGCGACACCACCAGTATCTGTAGTAGTTCTATCATCAGCAACATCAGTAACAGTTGTAAGACCAACAGTAGCAGAGGTAGTTGAAGCAGGAGAAGTAGTTGTAGCAGTAGTTGTAGCAGCAGCAGTAGTTGTAGCAGTATTTGTAGCAGCAGCAGTAGTAGAAGCGACACCACCAGCATCTGTAGTAGTTCTACCATCAGCAACATTAGTAGCAGTTGTAAGACCAACAGTAGCAGAGGTAGTTGTAGCAGGAGCAGTAGTTGTAGCAGTAGTTGCAGCAGGGGCAGTAGTTGTATGCTACTATGCCTGCTAGGAAACTATTATCTACAACTACTGGTGTAGACGACACTGATACCACAACTAGCGTCGATGGAGGTCTCACAACTGCTACTACTGATGTTGATGTTGATGTTACTACTGCTACTACTACTGCTCCTGCAACAACTACTGCTGCTACTGTTGGTCTTACAACTGCTACTGATGCTGGTGGTGTCGCTTCTACTACTGCTGCTGCTACAACAACTGGATGAAATCACTTGCATCGGTAGTAGTTGTAACACCAGGGGCAGTTATAGTAGTTGTAGAACCAGCAACAGCAGTACTAATTCCAATAGTAGAATTAGTAATTGTAGAACTAGCAGCAGCTGTAATAGTTGTAATCCCAGTAGTAGAATTAGTAGTTGTAGTAGCAGCAGTAGTTGTAGCCGTAGCAGTAGTTGTAGTAGCAGCAGCAGTTGTAGCATCATCACCATCAACAGCAGGAGCAGCAGTTGTGAGAGCTCCACCAACACTAATGGCTGTACGAGAGCCGTCTACACCAGGAACAGTAGATATTAAATTTCCTCCAGCAGAAACAGCACTATGACAATCATAATGACTGCCCCAATAGAAGTAGGGAGGGGTGCAGCATTCGCGAGACAACAGCACGACGAAAAAAAGACTGATAGAAATCATCCTCTAGAAAGGCGAGTGCAACGTTCACGACATATCTGCTCAAAGTTACAGGAATAACAACCATCAGGTTATAGAAAGGGGGTACAACGTCAACAGAATAACAGCACGACGACACGAAATCGACAGAAATCACCCCGTAGAAGGGTGATAATAATAACATACCGGAAGTATGATAATGTAACATGCCGGAAGTAACAGCCTAGTGTCACAGAGATAACAGTTGACACCATCTAGTAGTGGGGGTGCAACATGAACAACGTAACAGCCTAATGTCACAGAGATAACAGTTGACACCATCTAGTAGTGGGGGTGCAACATGAACAACGTAACAGCCTAATGTCACAGAGATAACAGTTGACACCATCTAGAAGTGAGGGTGCAACGTGAACAACGTAACAGCCTAATGTCACAGAAATAACAGTTGACACCATCTAGAAGTGAGGGTGCAACATGAACAACGTAACAGCCTAATGTCACAGAGATAACAGTTGACACCATGTAGAAGTGGGGTTGCAACATGAACAACGTAACAGCCTAATGTCACAGAGATAACAGTTGACACCGTCTAGAAGTGGGGGTGCAACATGAACAACGTAACAGCCTAATGTCACAGAGATAACAGTTGACACCATCTAGTAGTGGGGGTGCATCATGAACAACGTAACAGCCTAATGACACAGAAATAACTGTTGACACCATGTAGTAGTGGGAGTGCAACATGAACAACGTAACAGCCTAGTGTTAAAGAAATAACAGTTGACACCATCTAGTAGTGGGGTTGCAACATGAACAAAGTAACAGCCTATTGTCACAGAAATAACAGTTGACACCATGTAGAAGTGAGGTTGCAACATGACCTAAGTAACAGGTCGATAACACAAGAAGAACAGACATACGCATCCTAGAAGATAGGAGCACATCTTGTACGAAGTACGAGCTCTACGACAAGAAATGTTGAGTCAGATAAAGTCACGATCACGTGACCACATACCAGTCGTGGTTGTCTCGTCACCAGGGGGCGCAGCCGACACATTACCTGATGGCGGTGCAGCGTCGGCGGTGGTTACCACACCGCTACTAGCTGCAGTAGCCATGGCAACAGCACCATCAACAGCAGTAGTGGCTGTAACCCAACCAGCAGTAGTAGTAGCTATTGTGACAGAAGCAGTAGTTGTTGCAGCAGCAGTTATAGAATCAACATTACCATCAACAGTAACAGCAGAAGTAGTAGTTGTGAGACCTTTATGAAAGCTCGTGGTTGTACCAATGCCGTCTACACCAGCAGCAATAGATATGAAATTTTCAGCAGCCGTAACAACAATATGACAAAAATAACAGACATCACATCCCCGGAAATGTGGATGCCACATGCTTGAAGTAAACAGTTTGATGAGAGAGAGACCAGAGTATATAGTCGTTTTTTCATAAAAGTAGGGGTGCAGATGCACAAAGTAATAGCTCGAAGACCTGAAAATAATAGTAATTTTCCCATAGAAGTGGGAGTGTAACGTGCACAAAATAACAGCTTGATTATGCAAAAATCATATTAATTTTTCCATAGAAGTGGGAGTGCAACATGCACAAAGTAACAGCTTGATGACCTGAAAATAATAGTAATTTTCCCCATAGAAGTGGGAGTGTAACATGCACAAAGTAACAGCTCGATGACCTGAAAATAGTAGTCATTATCCCATAGAAGTGGGAGTGAAGCATGCACAAAGTAACAGCACGAAGACGCAAGAATAATCGTCATTTTCTTATAGAAGTGGGAGTGTACAGCTCGAAGACCCAAGAATATTGAGTCAGTCAGATTCGCGATCACATGACCATCTACCAGTCGTGTCCGCATTTACACCAGGGGGCGCAGTCGTCACATTACCAAATGGCGGTGCAGTGCCGGCGGTGGTTGCTTCCCTGGCACTAGCAACATTAGTCAGAGTAAACTCACCATGAACAGCAGCTGTAGCAGTCGTGAGACCTCCATCACTGCGAGTGGCTGTACCAGTGTCGTCCACACCAGTTGATATTAAATTCCCATCAGCAGTAGTAACAGTGACACGACCTGCTCCAGTAGTAGTTGTAACATCACCAGTAATAGTAGTTGTAGGACCAGCAGCATCCGTTGTTCTTTCACCACCAGCAACATCAGTAGTAGCTTGATCAGTAGCAGTAGCTGCTGTAGAACCAGTAACACTAATAGTGGCTGTAACACCACCACCACCAGCAGCAGTAGTAGTAGTAACACCACCACCACCACCAGCAGCAGTAGTAGTAGCAGTTGTAGTATCAGCAGCAGTGGTCGTGGCGCTACTATACAGAGTGGTAATTACCGGTGTCACCGGTACTGAAACAAGATAAATAATTGAATAATTACACATTATGGTATATAGTTGTTTTTGTGTGTTCCCTATGATGTCCTATAATATAGAGTGTTGGGTGTGTGTGCATGGGGTGTTGGGTGTGTGTGCATGGGGTGTTGGGTGTGTGCATGGGGTGTTGGGTGTGTGTGCATGGGGTGTTGGGTGTGTGTGCATGGGGTGTTGGGTGTGTGTGCATGATGGGGTGTTGGGGCCGTGTCATGGTAATTCTTGTGACGTAAAAAAAGGTGACACCAACCGGTTGCGACCCAAGATGACGTCAACAACGTGTTACACAAAATGGCGTCTACATGCGGTAGCCCAAGATGGCACCTACCAGGCGTGACACAAAATGGCGTCTACATGCTGCGACCAAAGATGGCGTCCACCAGGTCTGACAAAAAATGGCGCCTACCTACCTGTAGTAAAAGTAGTAGCCGGAGTAGTAGTAGTAGTATTAAGACCAGCAGTCGCGGGGGCGGTGGGCCGCATACACAGCTCCGGCCCGTGAGTAACCACTACGTCGTAGATGACGATGTACCGGGCAGGGAGTTGCTGTGTGACCGAGGAGCAATTTGCGGCAAAGGCAATCTGTAAGACGGAGCAGACGCGCATGTTACAATGACACGCTGTATCCGCAATTACGTGCTCGCTCTCCCGTATATATGCAACACAGTTCCTTCTTCTTTCCTTTCTCTTTCTCTCTGTCTTTCTTTCTCCCTCTTTCACTCTCGCTCACGCATTCACTCATTCATTCATTCATTCATTCATTCATGCATTCATTCATTCATGCATTCATTCATTCATTCATTCATTCATTCATTCATTCATTCAATCACTCACTCACTCACTCACTCACTCACTCACTCACTCACTCACTCACTCACTCACTCAC